CCCTCCCCCTTCATCCAGGCCTTTCCCAGAACCAGGTCCGCCAGGCTCAGAGCCAGCCCCTGTGTGCAGGGTGCCCAAATCTACGGCACCCAGGAGCCCAGGGGGAGACAGCAGGGCAGGGGCCTAAAGCGACGCAGCCTAGGAGGTTCAAAGGCAGAGGTCACACATAGTTTGGAGAGGACACGGGGGCCGGGTGGGGGTGTCTGGGGATGGCTCAAAAGGAGGATTCTTAACAAGACCCACAGGTCAGGCCCCTGTACCGAGACCCTCTCGGTGGACAGCTTGCAAACATGATGATACCTCTCCCTGAAGAGTTCAGCCTGGGTTCCCTTGAGCAGGTCCCAGGGACCTAACCCAGAGATGGCTTCAGGGCCCAGGACGTCCATCCCACCCCGTGGCCCCAGACCTTGGTGCTTCCTGAGTCATCAAGGTCAGTTCTCCCTTCGGCTGCCGTCACCCACTTCAGCAAGGGCAGGAATGAACTTTCTGGCCAAGGGCTCAGACTAAAGAGAACAAATGGGAAGGGTGGGCTCGCACGGAAGAAGGGTGTGTGTGTAGAGAAATCTGACCTGCCTGTGAATCTACCCTTAGCGTCAAAGTGCCGCATGACCAAGGGAGAGTCATTTTCAACCCCATCGTCAATATCCATCCAGTAGGACGGTTTATGAAGAATGAGACACTTCGTATTAAGTGCCTGGTCCAGAGTTGGCGTTCCCAGTGTGCGTTCCCTTCCCCTCCCCAGGTCCCACCTCTCGGCTGACCCCAGGGCCTTCCTGGCTCACTGAGGCCACACTTCCCAGCCCAACACCAGGCACCTCTCGGAGTTCACAGCTCTTTTCTTTACTAACTAAATTCACAAGTCCAAGGTCCTTTTTATTAAATCAGAATATGGAAGATTCAAGCACAGATCTGTTGGCTAAAAAGATTATTCTGTCCGTGATTAATTTTTTGCAGACATTGTCCATAGCCTGACATTTCAAGAAGTCTCCTCGATATACAGAATCTTTATGAAACATGCACCTCACCTCCCTCATTACCCTCCTTTCCATTTGGCACTGGCAGAAATAGGTCTACAACTACTCAAATGTTGGGCTCATGCTGCGAACCAATCGGGGGGTTCTGGCTTTCTCCATCTAAGGAGGAACCCTCACATAAAGAACACCGCCAGAAGTTGGCTGCGTCAGCGTGGATACTGAAGGCCACTGAACACACGAGTTCTCTGCAGGCTTGACCCTCGTTCCTGGCCTCTTCCTAACCCTAACTTGATGACCCCTTTGGGGACCCACTCTCACAGGGTGGGTGCAGCAAGCCTACCTGGCCCATCCATCTCCCTGACCACAGCAGCAGGTTCAGGGAGGGACACAGACCCAAGTCAGGACAGTAGGGTCTGTGCTGGTTGCTGGGCAATGTCTCTTCCTTCTGCCGGATCTCAGCTGACAGACACCAGCTTGGAGGCCGAGGGCTGCCCTGGGGGAAGCCCACCTGAGAGTGAGGGCACACAGGAAAGCAGAGCTGGGGGCAGATTCCCAATCATGTCATCTGAGTCCCTGGATACTCTACACTGTGCAGACATATGGAACTAACAAATCCCCTGCACTCTTTTTTTTGTTTTTTAATAAATTTATCTTATTTATTGATTTATTGATTTATTTTGGCTGCTTTTGTTCTTTGTTGACGTGCGCGTGTTTCTCTAGATGCAGCGAGCGGGGGCCACTCTTTTTGTTGCCGTGCACGGGCTTCTCACTGAAGTGGCTTCTCTTGTTGCAGAGCACGGGCTCTAGGCACTTGGTCTTCAGTAGTTGTGGCGCACGGGCTTAGTTGCTCCGCGGCATGTGGGAGCTTCCCGGACCAGGGCTCGAACCCGGGTCCCCTGCATTGGCAGGCAGATTCTTAACCACTGCGTCACCAGGGAAGCCCCACACCCTGTTTTTCTTTTCTTTTTTTTTTTTTTTTTTTTTTTTTTTTTTTTTTTGCTTATGATAATTTACATCGGGTTTCAACATCACCAGCAACCGAGAGTGTCCCGACTCTAGCTCATTTTTGAAAGTCTTTCTATCCATCACAAAATGGCAATAGCAGAGCTGCGTGACCCTGGGTAGTCTCCTCACTTCTGCGAGGATCCACAGAGGACCAGCACACCCCCTCCTTTATACTATTTATCTCCTGCAGATCCCACGCATTTGAGAGACTTGTATCCACCACACCGCATTAGTAACTGATGCTCATTTTGTCATGAAATGGGAGAAGAGTCCCCAGGATGCTGTCCCCTCCCCCCAGCACAGCCCATCTCCATTTTCCTGCATCTCTCACAGTCCCACCAGCCTTTACGGAGATGATCTGTGTCCCGCAGGTCTGACCCATCTGCATCCCCCGGTGTCAGACACAGCTCAGCAAATGCTGAACAGATGGAGGGGTGGACAGGGGACCGACAAGGGAATGGTCTCAAGCTTTCATCTCTGTCTCCCCAAATCCTTGCACAGGGCCGGGAACATAGCACACTCTTGGCCTGGAGACTGAACTGCCAAGCTCACCTCCCTGATCTGAGCAGGTAGGTTCTGAGTAGAAACAGACAAAGGTGGGTGGCGAGCAAGTCATGCTCCCACTCGTCACCCACCCCAGGGCCGTGGGCTGGGGAGCCTCAGGCGTCCCTTCCCAGAAGTCCTGAGGGCTCTGCCAGCTCCCCAGAGATGGCTGAGAGCAAGAGAGAAGCTGGCTTCCATTTTCCACAACTGCTGAGATCTAGATTTGCTGGAGCACATTGTTTAAATTGTTGAACACACGCCAAAGGCTCTTAAAAGAAGAGCACAATCTGAAACACACAGGAACTGTGATGCCGTAATCCTGTCTCTAGAGGCTGCTGCCCTTCCACTGCCTCACTTGCTGGCCCTGGACAAGGCCTTAGGCTCCCTAACGCCTTAGGCCTTAGAGTCCCTGGTCCTCTCCTGACACCCACCACGTGGGCTGCGGTGAAGGGAAAGGTGATCAGAACCCCAGGGCATCCCATGTGTCCTCCTCATCGCTGTGGGCGGCTGGGTCACCTTGCACCAGGGGTGTCCCAGCAGCCTTCGTGATGCTGACTCTGGTTCTCATGAACACACAAGAAGGACAATCCCTGCGACCCCGTCTTTTCCAGGGGCTGGCTAAGCTCCAAGGCGGGGGTACCGGGCAAGAGGTCCGAGCTTCCCACAGGCCCAAGCAGGGGTCATGGACCTCGCCCATCATCACTCACCCAGCAGACGTTTAATGAACATTGGCCCCGGGATGCCAATGCTCCAGGAGCCAAGGGCACTGAGCTGAAGGAGGCAGGACCCCCGCCCTCCCTACCCACCCAGGGGCCAGACGGGGACAATCACATTCCAGCAGTGCAGGCTCAGGGGGGCGGTGGAGGTGCCTGGCATCATCAATTCTGATGGCAGGGGCTTCCTGGAAGAGGCGACACCCAAGACTTGGAATGCAAAGGGGAGGTTAAAGGTAAGGGATGACGGGCATGCTGCCAAGTTTCCAAAGGTCCCAGGAAGCCACCAGGCCGGAGACAGCCTCACCGCCCCTGCCATCTGTCCTCACGACAGGTCATCCTGGAGTGAGGGGATCAGAGTGATGGCCTGGCAACCAGACAGACCAGGGCTTCAGTCAGGGTCAGGATAAAATAATGCGTGTACAAAACTCCCTAAATCATCAATAGCCAGCACCTTGACCGGACAAGGAGAAAGCGAGTCGCTTGTGGCTGTGGCTTGTCCCCAGGACATCAGGGACTCAGCGCTCCACATCCCCTCCTGCACCACATCGTCTCCTGACCTTCCCAATCCCGCTGTCCTGCCCTGAACCCCGCTGGGAAACTGCCCTGCCCACGCCCTGCACCCACCTGGCAGCTCCAGCCAGAGACCTGGAGTCAGCCCAGCTTCCGGGGGCCTCTCCACCTGCCACGTGCCTCCCTGCCGGCCTCGGCTCCCACGGGTCATCTCCACGTAACAGAGGTCATGCCGCTCCTCTGGTTTAAACCCTCTAACGTTCCCCAGAACACCCATTCTCCTTATCCTGACCATTTGAGACCCCACTCAGTTGGCCGACCTCTTGACCCTGCGTTCAACCCCTGCCCAGAGCCATCAGCCTGGGAGCCCTTTGTGCCCTGCACATGGTGGCGGGCCCTGCCTGCCTTGCCCACTGTCTCCTGCACCCGCTGAGCAGGCAGGCCCTCGGTCAACACTGGGGTGAACGGTTCCTGCTGTGTCCAATTCAGTGACAGTGACACCACAGAGAGAAGTGACGCAGCAGGGCCCAGCTGTGGCGGGCTGGGACCCCGAGGGTGCCAACTGGCCCAGTGCTTGCTCAGTACTCCCCGCCCCTCCCCTCGGGGTCAGAAGCCAAACAGAGACCACATGTGTTTCCTGACTCTTCTTATCTGAAACTGGCAGTCTTGACTTGGTCCGCCCTCTGAGGCCGTTTTTGCCTCACCCAGATTGAAACCAAGCGCGTTCCCAGCCCCTGTCTCCTGGCCCCGCAGCTGTGGGGTGTTTGTGGCTGGACAGAGATTCCAGATCAGGCCCTGGCCTGCCCAGAGGCCTTGGAGACGAAGCAGAGAACGCAGTGATCTTTGAAGGAGATGTGGAGATCAGAAGAGCCCAGTGGGGCACGTTTCTGGGGACAATCAGGCACTAGTCCAGCGTGATGGAGCCGCAGAGCTCAGGCCCTCTTCACCCAGAGCTCGGAGGTCCCTGCAGCTCCGCTGGGCATGGGGGCAGCGTGGGACAGGAGACTGGGATCACCCCTGTGCCCATCACTCAGCACTGGCTGCTTTGGTAAGTTGATGGCTCAGTTTCCTCATCTCTAGATGGGGACAAGAACAGAGTCTCCCTCTCGAGCTACCGTAAGGGGTCACGTAAAGCCCCCAGGTCTGCAGTGCACATGGCAGATGCTCCCCAGGCAGCTGGCTTCTCAAGGGGGAAAACAAAACGGCAAGGCTGGGTGAGCTGGAGAAGGGCGGGTAGTGGCCTGGGACTTCCCTAACTCATACAGAGCACCTGGAGCAGCAGGGGTTGAGAGAGTCATGGCGTGCAGGACACAAGGAAGCACGTGGGCGCACATGCACACGTGTGCACATGCACGCATGCACAGCTTGCAGCACAACAGTCTCCTGGGGGAGAGAAGAATCCGACGCACACGTGAGGCCCCTACACCCAGACACACAGAGCCTGGAGCTGACACTGAGACCGGTCGCCCAAGAGGGACTGAGTGGGGCCATGAAACTGGAAGGCTGCCCCGACATGCGAGGCAACACCCCAGGAGAAGCCTGAATAGGAAGTGAGACGGGCTCGGGGGGCAGGAGGCTTGATGACATCCACAAAACACAGCAAGCTCCAGGCATGGACCCTCTCTGCGCCACCGGGCAGGCACCTAAGGGACGAGGGGCCTTGACTCAGCACCTTGTCCCATGCGCCATGCTCAGAGCACAGGGTCCCAGCACGTGGACTCCACATGGCTGGTATGACTGCGCCCACTTTACAGATACAGAGACAGGCTCAGCGAGGCCTCCCAACTCCCTCAAGGGCACACAGCTCAAGGCCACCAGTCCAGCCAAGCGTCCCACCTCAGCCATCCCGGCACCATCTTCCTGCACCACCTCATGGCCCCGACACTCAGTAAATAAACAGCTCATGTGGACAGACGTACTCCAGAGTCCCGGCTGGAGTGCACTGGCACCAAACCACAGAGCGTTTTTCAAACTACAGACTTCGACCCAGAAGGTCACGGAACCAATTTAACTGCCCACAAGCAGCATTTGTTTTTAAATAAAAGCAACAGAATGGAGACTATCAGACAGCAACACACACACTAAGGACAAGTATGGTTTTGGAAATTTCCATTCCCACTGGATGTGTGCGTGTGTGCGTGCAGGCCCGTGGGTGTGTGAGTCCGGTTACGACAGCACACGTCTTTCTTGCTGTGGGAGGAGGTCAGAAAGTCTAAGAGGCGGCAGCGCCTTGAGAGCTGGGTAGGATTTCAACAGGTGGAGATGGCGATGGCATATTTTGGGCAGAGGTTCCCACGTGGCAAAGGGGAGGTGGGGGAACAGGGAAGGCGGAGGTGGATTTGGAGAACGTGGGATGGTCTCGGTGAGCAGGGAGGAGAGGGCGGTGATCCCCGGAAAGAAGTCACAGGGCGTTCACCACCCATGGAGCTTTTAGACCCGATGTCCCCAGCGGGCTCGGGGCTGATCGCCGCACCTGTAATCGGAGCCAAGGACCGTACTTCACAGGTTTGGTCGCTGTGAGAATAAGACAGACGCACTGAGAAGCACTCGCTGGATTATTAGAAAAAGTAACGCCGATACCAACTATGTTTTCCCCAAATATCACAGCCAGTGGTCCAGGGATCCTCCCTTTCTTGGAACTCACAGTAGACTTGAGGATTTTCCCCTACACCAGCCCCGAAAGCACAGAGGAGCCTCTCACACAAGGCTCCTGTTACAGCCCGTTGCCTGGCCCTGCCCCCCGCTCACTCCTGGTGTAGCTCAAATCGCAGGCCAGACACGAGAGCATCACCAATCCGAGCCTTCCTTCCTTGCTGCCACCCCGTCACCTGGAGGTCCGGGGCTCTCCCCACCCCAAGCCCACCCCCGGCGAGGCCATCTCTTCCCGCTGGCCCTGCCCGTGCTGTGCCCTCTCTCCCCAGGCTCGCTCCTGCTCAGGCGTCATCTCTTCCCACAGAGCAGGGCCCCACCACCCCAGCGCCAGGCCCAGGGCCACCTCTAATTTTCCCCTCCACCAGCCCCGAAAGCACAGAGGAGCCTCTCACACAAGGCTCCTGTTACAGCCCGTTGCCTGGCCCTGCCCCCCGCTCACTCCTGGTGTAGCTCAAATCGCAGGCCAGACACGAGAGCATCACCAATCCGAGCCTTCCTTCCTTGCTGCCACCCCGTCACCTGGAGGTCCGGGGCTCTCCCCACCCCAAGCCCACCCCCGGCGAGGCCATCTCTTCCCGCTGGCCCTGCCCGTGCTGTGCCCTCTCTCCCCAGGCTCGCTCCTGCTCAGGCGTCATCTCTTCCCACAGAGCAGGGCCCCACCACCCCAGCGCCAGGCCCAGGGCCACCTCTATGCTCCCCAGGCCCTGTGCTTCCTTCTGCTCCCCACGAGACCGTGGACTCCTTGGAGGCAGGGGGCAGGCCTGACTCACCTGTGCTGCCGATGGCCACTCAGGGCCAGCAAAGGGCCGTGCTCAGTGAGCAGCAGGTGGACAGAGGATGGACCAAACCCTGGTGTCCCTCCCCCAATGTCAGCAAGGCTGCCAGCACCACAACCAGCTGTCCCGTCGCACCCGGGTCCTCACACTGTCTCATCTCTTCGCCTGGGAGGTGCCTCCTGGGACAGAGTGGAAACCTGAGGAGGCCCAGAAGTGGACTGGGGGGGAGGGGAAGCCCTTGGAAGCCTGGCCTGGGGATGGAGGATGGTGGTCCAGAGGGCAGCAGGGACCTGGGCCTGGGACCAGGCATATTCCAGGCTGGCAGCCAGTCCCCAATGGGAGTGGTCACATGGGGCCCCCAGACCAGGCAAAGCTGCCTGACTGAACGGCCCCTGAGCAGTGGCCACGGTGGACAGGGAAAAACATGGGCTGCCCTGAGTGCTGGGCGCGACCAGCTGGGGTGGGGAAGACTTCTTCCTGCCACCTCCCCCGCCACAATGCCTGGTGGGGACCCTGAGCAGGTGGGAGTTGGTGCTTTTGATTATAAATAAAATAAGGAAACGTGAAGTCTGCTGCAGCCCAAGTTTGTGAACTTAGGAGCAAAGCCCGCTGCAAGGTGAGAGTCGAGGGGCCCTGAGTGGAGCAGGTGGGCCCCGACCACAGGGGGTGCCCTGCAGGAGGAACCTCGCAGGGGTGTCTGGACCACGTGCCAGGACTCGAGTGCTCGCCCTGCTTCTAGAACACCCCTGGGGGAGGACAGTCCAGCTTCCCAGGCCCCATCCCCTTACCTGTTCCTTCCGCCCTTTCTTGGCTCCTAGCACGCGAGGCCTGGGGCATGGCCGAGGCAGCCGTGTCTCTCACATCTCGTCCAGGTCCAACCTGGGGTCCGGGAGCTCGGGGCGTCCCACTCTTCTCCTGCTCCACCGAGGTGGTGGCATTGAGCCGTGAGCGGGCCTGGGGCTGTTGTGGCAGCGGTGGAGACTGTGGGCCAGAGGGGCTCGGAGGACAGGAACCGGAGGCCATTCTGCAGTGAGAAAAGCGGAGGGTCAGACACATGATACCAGCCAAGCCCAGTCTGCTCTGGCCTCTAGTTTCTGGTAAAGAGAGGGGACGGAAAAGGGAAACAGGGTGGGGGCTGCCCAGCATTCTATGTGATCTCATTCAACCTCACAACAGCCCCCGTAAGACACTCCCATTTTACAGGGCAGGAACTCGAGGGAGGAAACACTCAAGGCCGGCTGGCAAGTCCCACAGCAGGCATGAGCCAGGCCCTAAGTCTCAAGGCCTTGAGTCCCTGCCTCACCAGGCATGAGCCACGGGGCCTCGGGTGTGCTCATCTGAGAAGTGGGGATGTAGAATGTCGTGAGGATTCAGTGAGATGGTCCACACGGAGCCCTGGGCACAGTGCCTGGCTGTGCTGGGATGGAAACTGGCCTCCAAGTAGGTCCACCCAAAATCTGTGAAGGAGACCTTGTTTGGAAGAAGGGGTCCTTGCAGATGTAAGCACGGATCTTGACATGAAATCATCCTGACTTAGGGTGGGCCCTAATCCAGTGACTGGTATCCTTATAAGAAGAGGGAAACACACAGACACAGAGAGGAGGGCACCATGTGAAGGAGGAGGCCTAGATCAGACAGATGCAGCTGCACGCCCAGGGATGCCAAGGATCGCCAGCAACACCCGAAGCCAGGAGAGGCGAGGAAGGACTCTCCCTCAGAGCCCCCAGGAGGAACCAGCCCTGCCGACATCCTGATCGCGGACTTCTGCCTCCAGAACTATGAGACAATAAATTTCTATTGTTTAAAGCCACCAAGTTTCTGTAACTTTCTTATATGAGCCCTAGGAAATGAATACACTGGCACAGAGTGAAAGTTAAATAAATGTGAGGAGAGGGGAAGGGGAAGAGGAGGGAAGGGAGGGGAGAGGGGGAACGAAATGGGGAGGGGGAGAGAAGCGGGGAACACAGCCCCTGGAACCAGGATGTAGTCAGACCTGCCCAACTCCCAAGCCCTCCACGCTAGGCCTGAACCACAGAACAAATATCAGGGAACTTGAATGCACCAGATATGAACACATACTAGATGTGGAGTGACGGAAACCATGAAGCTGGTGTGTCAGAACAGATGACTGAAACAGACTGACGAGCACAGAGAGTCTACCACAGGGGAAAGGGCTCCATTAGTCAATAATGCCATTTAGCAAAACAGCAAAAACCACCACTGACACAATTAAGGGAAACCATGAGCCCCACACCGTGGAGCTGAGAGCTCTAGGAGTTCCCCAGCCAGGGAACCGGGATCAGACACAGACCCTGAAGAAGTCGGGACCACGTGCACTGTGCGGGGGATCCCCAAGGATCCCATGACCCTCACCACAGCCTCAAGGCCATATCCATCCTCTTCACTGAGATGAGGAAATGAGCACAGAGCAGGCAAGGCCCGGCAATGAGGAATCTGGCTCCCAAACTAACCCGTCGTAGCTGTCGCGCCCTTGGCTGTGTCCACCAGCTCTGTGGTCCTGAGCAGGCCACGTCCCTCTCTGCACCTCAGTTTCCTCAACTGTAAATGGGGACAATCATCTTACACTTGGGGACACTGTGAGGACTACATGAGACCAGAGACCACAAGGGGCCAGGTTCCCAGGCATCCCCAGTGCCCAGCTCCAAGCTCTGAGACTGCCCAGAGCCTGCCAGAGTGGGTGCCTGACACGTGTCTGCAGACTGCTGACACAGCAAGAGTCGGAGGGGGGGGCCCCAGGCGCCACACGCCACTTCCCCGGGGCTACACAACCATGTCTGCTCCATTCCTACTACAGATGGGTCCCAGAGATCAGATCTCTGTCTGCCAAAGAACCCTGGAGATTTCAATCTGGACATTCCTCCCTCAGAGGGACTGAAGACCTTATTTTAAAACATCCCCCTGGCTGCAAACCAAAAGCATGTCAAGCCACATGGATCTGCTTGGAAACCAACACAGTGCTTGGTGCTATTTCCAAACACCAGGCTTCCCGGAACCAAACAAAGAGGCAACTTTTGTGAAATTCGTCATCTGGCTGCACGTGCAGACCCATTGGGCAGGTGGCCAGCTGTGGGCAGGGAAAGTCAGCCGGTGATTTAGCAGACAGAACCCAGTTGTGCAGGTCACTGGCTGACCCGAGACAAACCACATGGAGCCACGTCCAACCTGGAATTTCAGGAAAACACAGGTTCTGGCTGGCCTGTTGGGCTAAGTATTATGCATGTCACATTACAATCAAAATAATACTGTTTAAAGTAAAATCTCTGCTTAATGAGAATGGATGAATAAAGGAGGATTAATTTTCAGGTTCCCTGAGAGTTGGCCAAACACTTTTTGAATCAAAGGCCTTGTTATTTTAAAACAAACGAAATGATCCATTGCCATGGATGGGTCACAGGGAGGATCGCAGGTGATCTCCCGGTGGAGGGACCTGCATGGTATCTGGTGCTTCCTTTTCTGTCTTCTTTCCTGTGACACTGGGGCCCCTGAAGGCAGGGGCTACATCTCATTCACTCAGAATACCTGTCTGCTAGAATACCTGCCTGCTTGCCTTGCAAGGTACACCCGAGACAGCCTGGCCTGGGGGAAGGAGCCCGGCTGGGGAAGAGCCTGCGCCATCTCACTGTGTGATCGGAAGCAGGTCCCTCCCTCCAGCCTGGCCCCAGAATCCCGAATCCAGACTCCTGACTGCAGGATGAGAGCATCAGCGTCCCGCTCCACCCCAGCTCCAAGACTCCTCCGATGCCTGCCTACGAGTGGGGCAGTCAACCCACACTGCCGCCCCATGACCAGAGCAATGGCTTGGAACCTGTCATTGTGTAAGATCCAGAAAACCAGAGTGGCCGGCATTCTTTCCACATGAGCACCCAGGCATATTTTTATCCCATCAGAACACAAAATGGCAGCATCACGGAGCTTGGCTGAGGGGCTGCCACCCCCTGAGAGGGCTGCTAGGATCATGCACCTACTGACACGTGGAGAATGATCTCACGTGGACTTCAGCCCAAGCTCTCTAACCCTTACTCAGGCCGGCCCCACTCTGCTCTCCCCGCAGGGGGGCCACCCTAACCTCTGAAACAAGCCCCCATGGGAAGCCTTAAGGATGTTCACACACCCTCTGAGCAGAGCCTCCACCATCAGGATCCCAGACCAGGGGAAAACCCAGGGATGCCCACGGTTTCACATTCAGCCCACTTGCTGCTCCCCCACATCCACGTGCCACTGTGGACCTCCACGCCTTTGCTCTTACAGAGCACCTCTCTGGTGTCCATCACAGCTGTACTTTCCAGCACCGTCCAGAGAGGGCAGGTGTGAAACTCACAGCCCCTCCAGATGGTGCTACACTATATAGCTGTTAACCAGGACCTGTATATGAACGTTTAAAGATAAGGAAATGTTGGGCTTCCCTGGTGGCGCAGTGGTTGAGAGTCCACCTGTCGATGCAGGGGACGCGGGTTTGTGCCCCGGTCCGGGAGGATCCCACATGCCGCGGAGTGGCTGGGCCCGTGAGCCATGGCTGCTGAGCCTGCGCTCTGCAACGGGAGAGGCCACAACAGTGAGAGGCCCACGTACCGCAAAAAAACAAAACAAAACAAAACAAGATAAGGAAATGTTTGTATGACGCTGTTAAGCGGGATCTAAAGCAGCATGAGCTATTGACCTGAGTCTATTTAGGATGAAAACAAAATTCACCTGCACAAAAAGATGGAAGAAAATGCCCCCACAATGGTTATACTATGTCTGAGTGAAGAGACTACAGGTAGCTTTATTTTATTCTTTTTCTAAATGTACTTCTCTAATTTTCTATAATGAACGTGCAAGGTTTTTGGAATTACCACAAAATGTTATTCTAAAACCCGTCTGTGACTGAGCCTGAAGGGAGAGGGCCCAGGGGTTCCCAGGGTCTGGGATGTCTGCTCTGGATAGCCCAGCAGCCTGGCACAGGGCTGCTCCTCAAGACAAGGGCACATAGCCCTCGGAGGTACCTATTTTTGCCTCACAGTATTAAGGGCCAAACCAAGGAACATTCCAGCTCTACCCAATGTGCCAAGTTCCCAGGACTAAGCAGGAATAAGCTGGGAATGCTCCTTGCCTGGCCGGGATGGGTCAGCGGCCATGGATTGTGGGCCGATCCTGTGCCAGGCCCCAACTTGGGCCTCCCGGGCCCCAGAGAGGATCCTATAGGACCTGCCTTGGAGACCTCAGTCCAGATAGGAAGGATGACACCTAAACTGACAACCACAAAGAGGGAGCTCTTGGGGGCTGCAAGCACAGAAGGGGGCCACACTCAGCGGTGGAAAAGGGGCAAGGTGGGGATTCTGGATGAGTGGCCTTGACTCAATCTTTAGGACAAGCAGACATGAGCCAGGCAAGGGTGAAGGGAGGGAGGAATGGAGGTGTGTGGGCATTTCAGTGGGGGACTGCCCAGGAGAAAGGGCAGCGGACATGGCTTAAAGGCAACATGGCTGGGAAGGTGCAGAAGTGACTCTGGGGCGGCGCACAGGAAGGAGAAAAGAGGCTGAGCGGGCAGCTGGAACTTAGGGCAGGTCCCGAGGGCCTGAACAAGTGCCAGGCTTAGTGTGGGGTTGAGCCTAGGGCAGAAGGAAATGCAGGCTGGTGCTGTAGGGCAGTGGCAGTTGAAGAACCATCAGGGCTGTATGGGGATGGCCCAGGGAGACCAGGGAGGGAGCTGGGTGGTCTTCCAGGGAAAGTGAGGAGGCCTGGCCGAGGGCAGGCATCTGAGTGCGCTCCTGGGCCAGGAGAAACAGAAGCATCACCAACTGAATGTGGGCAGGGGGGAGCAGAATGGGGCCTGATTTGTGCCCTGGGGCCATGGTGTTGGTGCCACTTGCTGAGAAGGGGACCTGGGAGAGGGGAGGGAGCCATATGAAGCATAGAACAAGCTCGCTGTCGTAATTCTTACCACCACTATCGTGGACCAGGATTTGGTCTCTGTCCCACAGCACAGGCATTTTGTGGGTCAGGGACTGAACTAGGTTCCCCTC